GGGGGGGGGTCCACCCAAATAAACAGAGACGACTGAAATAAAAATGTGTAACATCACATTTCTTATAATCAGCATCGTAACTTTATCTTATTAATATCTTATCATATTTGTTACATTTATAAAAATTATTGTAACATTCTTTTCTTAATAAAGGAGGAAAAAGAAAAACTTAGCCTGTCTTAAACGAATAAATATTTAAATCTCAAAAAGAAAAAAATGTTCATAAGTATTTAAATGAATATCGTCCTTGCAATCAAAGTTAAAAAACTAAATGAAATTGAAACCAAATTTTGGGTCATAAAACTCTCTTCATACATAAGAATTAAAAATTTTGCAAAGGTCTTTCGTTGTGTCCTTAAAAGCATCTTTTCCCATAAAAAATGTTGATACGATTTTAAATTTTGCAACAATTTTTGGGAGATTAGCGGAAATAGTCTCCGAGCCAAAAGACACTGCAAACAGTATAATTTGTTTTATTAGTCCCTACAAAAAATCGATGTTTTCTCACTAAGAAAGAATATATTTCTACAGAAAGGTAGATCTTCTGACAGTGTAAAGTAATTTCAGATTTCTAAATAAAAATGTCCATTTTGCATATTACTCAGTAATGGTAAAAAATTTTAGCCAATAAATGATTAAAACCAAATAAAACTAATAGAATGCTTTTTTCTCTTATTCTTTCTACCCTGTCCACTGTCCAGTGCCAGTGTTTGTTTCTAACGTTCAGACAGATTTTCCCACAGTAAAATATCAATTTAGTAGAAGTGACCCTTTAACGGTTTAAATGTTTGCAAAGTGTCCCATTTATCTAGTGTGCTGGTCCCTGGGCTGCTTCAAATACAGTAGAGTAGATGATTACAGTTGGTAGGATACTGCAGAACATTCATAGACATCATCATATACATCATCATGGACATCATCATCGACATCATCATAGACATCATCTTAGACATCATCATAGACATCACCATAGACATCATCATAGACATCATCATAGACATCATCATAGACATTATCATAGAAATAATCATAGACATCATCATAAACATCATCATAGACATCATCATAGACATCAGCATAGACATCATCGTAGACATTATCATAGACATCATCATAGACATCATAATACACACAACATAGATATCATCATAGACATCATCATAGACATCATCATAGACATCATCATAACATCATCATAGACATCATCATTATCATAGACATCATCATGGACATCATCATATACATCATCATATACATCATCATAGACATCATCATAGACATATAGACAATATATATATATATATATATATATTGTAAATAATAGACTAGACGAATTCAAATGAATTCAAGAATTTAGTCTAAAAAAATTGATCTATATGATATACAAGATAAATATAGCACAAAGACTAGACAAGTTTATTCAAAAGACTAATTTTATATAGAGACTAAAAATTTACCAAAAAGACTAGCTGAATTTAGACTAGAATTAAAAAAGAGTAGCGGAATTTAGACTAGAATTAGAAAAGACTAGCTAAGTTTGGACTAGAATTAGAAAAATTAAAAGTAATTTAAAGTGACTCTCATGCATCTAAAAGAGTGGCATGTCCGATTTACAGATTTTTTGATCAAGAGTGCATGAGATATTCATCATTTTACTGTTGAAAATTGATTATTTTCTATTGTAATTTCTCGATAGTGTGACTCGTGGATTTCTGTCTCAAAAAGTAAAAAAAAAAAACGACCATGTGTATGTACATAACAAAGTGATGTTCAGATAAAGGTTTAAAAGGCATTGTTGGGAATGTGAATGCCCGTCTCTAAACGAAAGGTCACTTGAAATTACAATGATAGTTTATAAGGACTAGGTAAGCTTCAACTAGAATGTTTCCTAAGTCTTGTGTACAGCCAAGTTATCGTAAACACAAGAAAAACAACATTGCACGCAGTCTGAAAAAAAATAATATGTCAAAACTTTTTCAAGTAATCTGGCAAAAAAGCTCCTTAAACTATAATTTTATGATTTTTTATTTCTATGCAACCTAATGTCTTCCAGTTTTTACACAGCAAACATTAAATTCTGCTTGATTTAATAGAAGGTTGCAAAGGTATAGAAACTTCCATGGTACAGTTTGAGACAACTTTACAAGGGAATAATAACTCCAATGTTTTATTTATCTTCACATAACATTTCACAAAAAACTAAAAAATGTAGATTTTTATCATTTGTTAATTTTCCATTCTTATTTCCTGAAAACTAATCTGAGGAGAGGGCTGGAAAATATAACCCCCTATCAGTTACCTCATATTTAGCATATATTGCCAGTTTTGCTAACTCTAGCCAATGATCTGAGAAATCATGGATAAACAGAACAAAAGATCCCATTCTAAAAAAGATTTAACTTTTGTGAGATACAAAAACATTAATTTTAAATGAGTTTTTTCTATGTACATTTTCAATAAAGGAACTGACAAATTACCACAAACTATGATTTTCTATAATTTTCTTCTTAAGAAATTTTTTTAAAATTTCCAATTTTTTGCCTATGCATGTAAATTGTTAAATTGCTTAAATTTTCAAAATTTTGAAGAAGTTGAGAAATTATTTTCAAAATTGCCTAAAATTTTGCGCGGTCAAAGATAAGATGAGAAGAATGATTATACTAATAATTTATAATATAATCATTACTCGTGCCAATTATTTCTAAAAATGACAAAAAAAGTGAAGAAAAACATATTTCCAATTGTATATTGGATAGTGAGTATACCTATGCATGTGATTTGTCCAGCTAAACATGAGAAGAAACAATGTTGCAACATGATGAGCCAACATTTGCCAGAAATCCTTGAAGTATAATGCGATTATCTATCTGATAACTTAAAAACAAAAGAACTGACTTTTTGCCACAAACTCATATTTTCTAACTCCTATATTTTTAGAACCCGATGTCGTAGACCTTTGATATTTCAATCTATGATTTCTGTTAGATCAAATAGTCAAATGGTTTGAATTATGAAAGGTGTACACAATCAAATTGCAAAGGTACAGGGTGTCCCACGAAACATGACAGTTGGTAAATACTTTAGTGTCTTCGTCCATAATTTGTTAAGTTGTTTAATACCAAAGACAATAATAAAAATATTATAGGAGTCATATTATCGTAATATTAACTTCAAAGTAAAACATATTTGAGCAAAAGATTTTTTAAACGAAATAAACTGCAAACAGCCTTTAATATCTAATACAGTGTATGGAAGACGACATTCAAAACTATTTACCAATTTATGTTTTGTGGGACACCCTGTATAAGAATTAGTAGTTTGAGTTATATTACGAAAATCTCTTTTTTTTAGACTTTAATACGTGCTGTACACAGAGCGAACTTAAATTTTTTATCAGATTCTATCATCGTTTGATGAGCTTATATTGGAATTTTTACGAGTTTCTTTTGGAAGTTTTCTGAGTTTCTCTTTTGGAAGTTTTATGAGTTTCTTTATTGGAAGTTTTCTGAGTTTCTCTATTGGAAGTTTTATGAATTTCTCTATTGGAAGTTTTCTGAGTTTTTCTTGGAGGTTTAATGAGATTAAGTTTTCTTGGATTATCTCAAATCAACCAAGGCCTCTCTCTAACTTCTGTTAGAGTTTCCTGACGTTCGAAAGATCGAACACAATTATAGGAATTTCTAACAGTTTGTTATTGCTCACTATATTCATTTTCTGTGCTTATAAAATAAGAGAAGAATAAAAAAAGTATATTTTTGCTTTTGCCGGCTTATTATTGTGTGGTTGGATTAACGATGAAAGACCAGCAGATCCCGGAGTAAGCCCCAAAACGTCAAATATTGCTTCTATTTCTCTTTACCAAAAATGTAAAAAAATAATGCTAAGAATATTTTTCCAGCATTTATATTTTATTCAAACTTCTCTCTGTGTAGTTTAAGATTCCGATTATGTAAATATTTATAAGATTTAAAATGGTAAAAAGAAAATATTTTTTTTTATTTCCATTTTTCTCTCTCAAACCAAATAATCAATTATAAAAGGGAGTGTTCGCGAAAAATGAAAGGGGGTAAATACTTACGGCGAAAAATAATAGCTTATGATCGCTACTACTCTTACTTTTATCTGCTGCGTTTATAAGGAGAAAATTGTTAAAAACGACTTATACAAAAGAACGTAGCGTCCATACAAATTCAGAAAGTTGCAACATACAACTTGTAACGTAAAAAAATCAATTTAATTTCAAACAAATCATTCAGATATCACAACCTATAGTCATCGATTTTTTTCGACGCATTTGTATATAGTTAATATTTCATAATATTTGTTATTTGTTTTATATACAATGCACTTAAAACGCTAGGTAACTCTGCCACGTGTAATCATTCAAAGCTTCGAGAGCTGAGACATCTGGCGGCCAACTATTTCGGCGTTTAAGTGCATTGTATAAAAAAGAAAAATACGAATGCGTCGAAAAATAATCGATGACTATAGGTTGTAATATCTGAATGATTTGTTTGAAATTAAATTGATTTTTTTACGATCCGGGTCGAATGCTGCAATTTTCTGAATTTGTATGGACGCTAAGTTCTTGAGTATAAGTGGTTTTTAACAATTTTCTCCTTATAGACGAAACAGATAGAAGTAAGATTAGTAGCGATCATAAGCGATTATTTTTCGCCTTAAGTCTTATACCCCCTTTCATTTCTCGCAAACACTCCTTTTAAAAGCATGAATTTTCACTTTTTATTTGCAAGAAGGTTTTAGATATTTTCTTCAAGAATCTTTTTTTATGAAAAGCTAAAATATTTATTTCTCGATCAAATAAACTTATTTGGGTTTGAAATATTTAAGAAATTGGAATCTTATTTTTACTTCTAACTCAAATAATACATATATATGTATATATACATACAGGGTGAGTAAAAAAACAGGGATTATGGAGGTTTTGAAAAACATTTTCAAAATATTTGTTTTGTTCTGATTCGAGAAATTAAATAAATTAAATGTGTTAGAAAATTCAAAAATATTTTAGGAACATTTAAAAAAAATCCGCGAAACCAAATTTTTTTGAAAAAAGGAATTTTTTTTTAAAAATTGAAAAATGTTTTCTATATTATTTTTCAAAATTTCCAAAAAATTTATTACAATTTGAATGAGATGTAACCAAAAAACCAAAAAAAAATGAAATTGAGTGGAAATCTGGAGTAAATGTTATTAAATTATAACCTTAGAACTGTTATTACTTCAAAAATGCAAATTTTTGGCTTACATTTTTTTGTTATATCTAATTAGTTTTTGATGAATTTTTTAAAGTTTTGGAAAACAGTAGAATGAACATTTTTCCAACAATGTTTTAAAAGTTTATTTTTTTATAAAAAAATAGGTTTCGCGGATTTTTTATTTTCAATGTTCCATGTATATTTTTTAATTTATTTTTATCGCATTTTATTTTTGTATGCCTAAAATAAGAAAAAATTTAAATTTTGAAAATTTTGTCTAAAACATCGATAACCCCTGTTTAATAAATTAACGGGGTTTCTCCAAAAAAAATTCATTTCAGATAAATTTCTACGTGTTGTTTAAAAGTTATTATATAATATTAAAGTAGCAATTTGAACGTTTTGCATTTCTAATAATGATTAAGTATATAATTCCAATTTTCTAGAAGACGACATTTCAACCAAGCCTTTTCAAGTCAACGTTTCTTTTCTAAGAGTACGGTTAAAAGTTCTTTAATAAGGTTGGTGTTTCTCGATGCGCTCCAAATTCCAATGTACAAAAAATGTCGTCTCCTAAGATAAATATTTAAAAAAAACTCATTTGGCGTCAATGATTATTAAAGAACCTCTGTATACTGATAACCAGAAAACTCATGATAGGAAGTCGACTTTCAAACTCAAGTTTTGACTTTTGATAGCGCACTGAACATGAGACACAGCAATTGTGGAACGTAAACAGACCCATTTTACCTAATATGTAATTTAATAACTTTCAAGTAAAGCTATTTGCTTTAAACAACATCAGAGCACTTCAGAAATGCTATAATGCCGTCTTCCTATTCTACAGTTTTCTGGTTATGACTGTACATTCAATGTTTAATGTATTGCACACCACCACAGAAAAGTTTTTCAGTGAAAACTTCTAATAAGTTAGGCTGACAAACTTGATGTAAAATTCCAACCTTGTTTTTTCTAGAGCAATTGTAAAAATTTAGTCTACACGGGCAGCCGTAAAACATTTGAATTTGTGAGCCGGGTCAACCTTTCAGGTCCCAGTTTGTACTGTACCTAGCTCTATGGACAAGACTAGCCGTTGCAACAAGATAACCGTGGTCAGACTTTTTCTTCTTATAGGTTGAATTTACTTTTACTAAAGGGGCAGAGGTGCGTGTCTAGTTTGCGGCCTTTTAATTAAATTGTTAATATAAAACATCCAATGCACTATTTTCTTAACATTTTCACAAGCAATGGGCAGAGTATGTTTGCTGGATAAAGGATTTTTTAAGTGTGTTCTGACCTTTTAGCTCTTAATGATTTGAGATAACAACAACAAAATTTCACAAAAAATAAATGGGTTAGAAAATTTCTACTTTTTATATTTCTCTCAGACTCTCTGAATAGAACTTTTGATTTTAATTCTGAACAAAAGTATTTTACCTACTTTCCGTTTGAGGTCTGAGAACTGAGTGAAGAATAGACACCAGTAGAGGGATAGCTCCAGCATGTAGTACCACCAGATCTTTAAATCTAATAATATAAAAATTTAAATGATTTATTTAAAATAAAATATTAAAATCGTGAATTATTGTAGGCACAAATGACATTGTGTGTCTGTTTTTTTTTGCACGAAATTGCGCAACTTATGCGTTTATGTGCTGATTTGTGCCAAATTAATCTGAATTGCAATTACCTATGGGATGGTAGGGGTAACCATGCCAGCAATGTGCTGTGTTCCATACCCAGGGTTTATCATACAAGCAGAAGAGACCACCTGCGGTTATAAATGATTTTAACGCTAGAAAGAGAAGTTTAAATAACAAAATGTATGTAGAATTAATGGAAAAAAGTTGGATTGTGATATTTTACAAAATTCTATATTTTAAACTTTAAAGGAAAGATTTTTTTTATGAATTTCGGTCGTTGAAATCACTGGCCTAGATGCGCACACAGGTAGAGAACCCACCGCCAACCCGTCTCACAGAATTTATTGAACCGAACTAATCTAAACAAAATAATCAGCACTCAAACATTTCAGAAAAATTGGGAAAGAAAAAAATAATTGCAAAAATTACCAACAAAATGTGTTGAAGGCTGGTATCATAAAAATCACAAAACGATCAGTTAATTTCTTTGCACAGAAAACTGAACTATTACATTGAAACTATTTTTGTCCGTGATTAGCAGAAAACTTTTAACGAATATAATTTTTTTTCCAAATTTGATTTCATTACAAAAGAATCTGTTTAAAAAACAATAAAAAAATGGAAAACGTTCACCTTTTTTTGTTGATTGCAACTTTTAGTTTCTCCCTTTCTGAATTTTTCCCTGGATGTAGAGTTAAGGGTTTCATGTCAAATCTGTAAGCTGCAGGGGTAAAGATAAACTTCACTATTAAAAGCCTAATACCTAAAATAAATTTTAAAAGTTTTTATGATGAAAAATTAATCAGATCATGAAATATTGGATACTACGATGGCTATTTTTGATTTATAATGGGTAAATCTGGGAAACTTCTATTCATACTCAAAATTTACATAATTTACATATTTTACATAATTTACATTTAAATAACTTACATAACTTACATGATTTACATAATTTACATAATTTACATAATTTACATAATTTACATAATTTACATAATTTACATAATTTACATAATTTACATAATTTACATAATTTACATAATTTACATAATTTACATAATTTACATAATTTACATAATTTACATAATTTACATAATTTACATAATTTACATAATTTANAGAAGATGATGAAACTAACCTATGAATAAGATGGAGAAGATGAAAGGAAAGAGAAGATGATGAAACTAACCTATGAATAAGATGGAGAAAATGAAAGGAAAGATAAGATGATGAAACTAACCTATGAATAAGATGGAGAAGATGACAGGAAAGAAAAGATGATGAAGCTAACCTATGAATAAGATGGAGAAGATGACAAGAAAGAGAAGATGATGAAACTAACCTATGAATAAGATGGAGAAGATGAAAGGAAGGAAAAAATGATGAAACTAACCTATGAATAAGATGGAAAAGATGAAAGGAAAGAGAAGATGATGAAACTAACCTATGAATAAGATGGAGAAGATGAAAGGAAAGAGAAGATGATGAAACTGAGCAAATTCTTCTCCTTCTAGTTCCTCCCATTTTATACCAGGAGGTAACCATATCTCCTCACTCAACCAAGTCATAACATAAAAATAATAATCTAGAAACAGAGAACAAGTTAAAAACATGAAAGATAAAGACAGAGTGTCCAAAAAACATGAAAGAACAGCGCATAATCTCTTAATTTTGTCTGTCTGTATAAACTGATTGGGTCCAAATATTTTGTGGCTATTTACATTTAAATGCATTCATATTTTTATTCAACTACAAAGTATGAGATATTACAAATAAGCATTCACAATTCACTATGCAGTTAGGACCCGCCTAACCATGGTAGGTTGTTTTTAGTGGTTGGCCCGAAGTTAGTTAGATATACTGAATATAATTGGTTAAACACATCAAGTTATGTTTTTGGATAGGTAAGGAGTGGATTGGAAGGAATGAGATTGTTGCAGGTGATCTGTGTTAGGGTGAGATCAGAGGTATTAATGTAGAGATAAATTAAAAGACAGAGTGTTTATGATGGTGGAGACACAAACAGAAAGAAGCTAATAAAGTTCTATTTTTTTATTTTTTATTTTTTTTATAAAATTCATTAACACGATATACAACTGGGTTTTTCGTTTTTAAACCTCTCATAATTCTTAAGATAAATATTGATTACTCTTTGTTTAAATATTTTTGCAGATTTAGTTTCTTTAAGGTCAATTTCATTCCACAATTTAGGAAACATTGAGGACGGGAAGCTTTTTAGATTTTTGTTTAAAACCCGTTCTAATTTATATGATTTTGAACCAAGGAAGTATTTATTGATATAATTAAAAGTAAAAAATTATTGATTTTTGAAGTTTCGAAATCATTTATGTTTTTTGAAAAATCCGCAAAACTTTCAGTTTTACAATTACGAAGCAACATTAATACACTTAAATTTGTTCTATAAAATGAAAGGGGGTATAGGCTTAATGCGATAAAAAAGCACTTTTTGAGTTGAATGTTGCATCTTTCCGAATTTGTATGGACCCTGCGTTCTTCGGTGTGAGTCGTTTTTAACAGATAGAAGTAAGATTAGTAGCGATCAAAAGAGCTTTTTATCGCATTAAGCCTTTACCCCCCTTTCATTTTTCGCGAACACTCCCTTTAAGTGTATTTTATGTTGTTACAAATCAATTCGTTTTACAAACTTATAAAATCACTAATTTAGTTAAATTAGCCTGTTTTCTTTGCAAAATTACAGTGTTTCATGCAAATTGGACTTTATAAAGTTATAACTTTATTCTACAAGTCGTTTTCCTAGTTTAGAGTTTTCTGGTTATCACTGTACACTGTATATGTGAATTAAACGAATTAATTTGAATTAAAATGCAATAAGTACTCCAACAGTCACAAATGCACAACAAATATACATAGATTATTTGAAGCATCTTTAAGCAAATAAGTAAATAATTTGTACTTAAAATCCTTAAATTATGTTTTTTTAAATATATTTTTCCAAAAATAATCTCAACTTAAACTTTCACATCATTCGAACAACCACTCTGAAAAGTTCATGTTGGATATTGTTTTGTAATGTTTGTACTTTTATATATTTGTTTATGATAGCATTTATTATCTTAGTTTATAACTATATCAGAAAAATATTAAAATCATGAAGATGCTTTTTACAAGATGCACTTTAGTATTTTTAGGAATCAAAAAAAGTTTGTGATTTTATTGAATCATTTGACAACTTGCAAAATGATAATCTACAGGGTGTCCCAAAAACATGGGAATTCAGTGACAAATTCGATATCGTCTTTATTATTAATTATAATTGTAATATCTAATTTCAAAAGCCATAATATTATTTTGTCTAGAGTTTTTTTTTATGAAAAGGGTAAAAGACTGTTATAAAAATGTGTCTATAATGTCTCCGCAAGATGAACAGTGAAGTGAAGACGGACAAGTTTACTCTGTTTGAATACTGCAATTTTCTTGTTTTACTAAGTACAACCGTATGCAGTCAAAACATAAACAAACAAAATGTGAACACTGAACATAGCAGACGAAACTCTTACTGATTACAGCTTTCTCAGTAGGTATCACTATACTAAATCAAAGAATTATTTAAAAAGACGATATCGAATTCGTCACTGAATTCCCATGTTTAATATCAAATTTAATTGATGGTTACATGCAATTGCAAATTTATTTTTTTATATATTTCCACCTGGGACCTGACTTGACCTGAGAGTCTAGATTGGATTATGTGGGACCTGACTTGACCTGAGAGTCTAGATTGGATTATGTGGGACCTGACTTGACCTGAGAGTCTAGATTGGATTATGTGGGACCTGACTTGACCTGAGAGTCTAGATTGGATTATGTGGGACCTGACTTGACCTGAGAGTCTAGATTGGATTATGTGGGACCTGACTTGACCTGAGAGTCTAGATTGGATTATGTGATTTCGTGATTTAGTAAAATTTGAGATTTTAAAGAAACAATTTAATTTTCATTAGAAAAACTGATTGATACTGTTCACAAAAATAATTGAAACATTTTTCTTATAATGTCAAATAGTTTCTCAAGCATTAAATCACTATAATTGCACTGTAACACAACTTAAAGTTAGAAGATGATGATTATAATAATGATGACTGGAAGTTTAAAGGTGGTAACGATGATCTTTATTTCTTGTTATTACGACGTGAACTACTACTATACACCTGAATATACTTTAATTCAATGATAAGGATGAGGAGGGGGAGATAAGGGAACAAGTAAAACAATTTTATTAATATTTTGAAAAAATGACTTTTCCCTAAACCATGCTCTCAAGTTTCTGTAAAGGAAAATAATATTTATGTATATGAAATCTGTTTAAATTTTGTTATGGCTCCTCTAAATGTTAAACATTTTCATGGATATTTAATGAAAGTATAGATAAACATTAAAGATTAGGGATTGGCGACAAAGTTGATAAGTGTTTTGAGGTTTCCACCGAAACAAAATTTTCGCACGATTTTACGCAATGTCGCACAAATTTTCTTGCATGTGCGTGAAAATAAATTTAGCGCTCATGCCAACGATGTGACTTAAAGATTTTCAATATCAGGCCGCGAAGGTATCCACAAATCTCATTCGGTGGGCGGCATACATTATAAGGTTTTTTAGTTAGAAATTCTAACTAAACAAAACTAAAACAAAACATTTAATCAACTTAGAGACTTCTCTCAAAAACAAATTCTTAAGCGGTCAAGCCTTATTTGACATAAATAAGAGGTTTATGGAATACATTTATTTTGGCTGATCCTCCCCTAATACCCCATTGTGTGGGGGGGGGGGGGGATAAGCCACCATAGTCCCCCCCTCCCAATTTAATTATACGCCTCTGCTAGATATTTTGCTGGTTGCTTCTGAATAAAGTTAAAGAGAAACTACGGAGTTATAGAAAGAATTTATTACATGTCGTCTTGAAAATTTTCAACGGGTTGTATATATACTATTATACCTAAATCTCATTAATTGTAAAAAATAAAATAAATAGCCATAAATATATTCCATTATCATTCCAGAATACGACATTTTATAGATTCTTTCGGTCTTCGGTTAAATTGTAATAAATTCAATATGATATTCGATGCAGATATCAAATAAAATACATTTCTTTCACGAGTGCAGTGAAACCTGAACAAATATAAAGAACGAAGACGACAAAAATATCAAAATATACAGGGTTACCCACAAAGGATGAGACTTCAGAGACAATTGTGCGAAATTTTCATAGTCCGTTTTTTGTTAGCCAAAACTGGTTTATGACAGTGCTTAATCATTTTGTAAACCATCAAAATTTTCAATTGAATGCAGAAACCAAAAATCAAGCTTAAAATAGTCATAGTTTTAGAGTTTTTGGTCGTCTTTAAAGTCTCATTCTTTGTGGGTAACCCTGTATATGAAGGCCCATGCTTAATGGATTAGATTTCTCATTTGCTAAAGTGATAGCGAGAAAACTGTAGAATAGAAAGACGACGTTTAAGCAATAATAAAGTGAAGATAAGAAGATAACTTTACTAGTTATTGAATCAATTATTTAGTGAAATGGGTCTGCTTACACTGCACTATTTCTTCGCCTCATGTTTATTGGACTACCTTAAACTTATCTTTGGTCATAATTCCTTACTGTTAGGGGCACTAAAGAATTCAGTCTTCAAAACTTGAGTCTAAAAACCGACTTTCTATTCCAAATTTGTAAACCCCAAAGAATTGTACAGAGTACGAAGACACTTGCCGCAACTCTTTAAATTCAATGTATTGCATGTCAGTAGCTAGTACAATAACTAAATTGCCATTTAAAAATTGAGCTCAAACCCTCCGGTATGGTGAAGACGACATGAGCTATCTAAGGCGATCTTATCACTTAATTTAATTCATTCTAGTTTATTTGTATTGCAAACTAAACTTATCTAAACATGGGGAGAAAAATGAGACAGAAGAAATTTGTTAAGGTTCTTATTCCTTCTATTATACAGTCATAATCAGAGAGACCTGGAATTAATTGACAGTAAATCACTAATCAGGCAACTTCACATTTTACAGCTCTGACAATTTCTAACGCTCAAGAAAGGCAGACCACATTTTGGAAATGGCAGGACTAGGGCTATTTTGTGAATCATTTCATCAATCATAATTGTAAAATCGTCTGATTAATTAATTCCGGGTCTTTCTGATTAGGGCTGTAGTTCTCATATATTTTAACACTTTGTGTGTTCCAATAAGCAATATGATAATTATGAACGACTGAAATATCGTTGTTGATCCTTAATCACTTTTCAGTGGCAAAAGTGTAAATAACAAACAGGAATTGTGTAAAATGGGGACCACATACTTAGACATAGACGTCATTTTAAGTGACCCTCCAGTAATAGAGTGACATGGCCGATTCACAACAACACCCTTTGAAGAAGTTGTCGTTTTTTTTTTTTATCTTTTTAACATGTTGAATTCTGACAATTATTATTTTGTCATAAATTCGCAAAATTGTATAGACTTATCACTCATCAATATATGAAAACATTGCCATGTTTTATGGAGCACACTGTATTATAACGTATAGATTACTACGTCGAAGCCAGTAACAAATATCGAGATTATTAGCTATGATATTGTATATACTTATACGGCTATCTAATTATATCAAATTTACTCTGAAAACAGGGCTAGATATGTTTTATTATGCAGTACAACTATGTTCAAAGAAGTAGAGGGTGTCCCACGAAACATGACAGTATGCAGGACGACTTGAATGTCGTCTTGATTTTTAAATTCAAATACCAAAGACGACTTTCAAGTCGTCTTCCAATTGTCATGTTTCGTGGGACACCCTGTAGATACAAATTTTTGGTAAACTTCATAAAACCCACATTCTGTGTAAATTGAGAGGTATGAATTATATTGTCCAAAGTGAAGAAAAATGTTAAGGAATGCGTTCTTGTATGAATGGGATTTGTTACGCCGTCAATTTAGCGGAAACATGACGGATCTATTTTTGTAAGGTTAAATTCGCAAAATACGATTTTTTTGTAACTATCCAAGTTTTGCGTATTTTTTCTTAATTTAATTCTTATCCTGGTTCTTGCAGTTCCTTTGTCTTTCTTAATTTTGAACCTCTTCTAAAAATTTGCTTTAATTGATAGCTTCTAATTTTAGGTGTATCTATATACGGTTTAACAGCTTGATTTAAATCAAAATTGAAAACGAAAGTCGTCTTCATTATATCGATAAAATCCCTATCACTGTAACATATTTTAAAGTAATCGTTTATTCAATGATTTATTCAATATTTTACTGTTTTAATACATCTTTTATATTTTAAAGGGTGTGTAAACCTAATTCCAAGTGAACTTTGATTTATAGCTGGTGGCATGTCTGTTTCACAACGGTACCCTTGACAGATTTGCCTGATCTAGAATGAACTAAATATTCATTTTAATAAGTTTGCAAACTGATTCTTTTAAATGCGGGTTCCCTTAAAAAAAGTATCTTGCACATTTCTACAGTGGTAACCAGAAAACTCTGGAATAGGATGTCGACTTTTAGACTCAAGAATGACTTTGAATAGTCCAATGAACATGAGACGCAGTCATTGCGCAGTGTAAACAGACCCATTTCACTTAATAAGTGATTCAACAACTTACTAGTGAAGCTATTTGCTTTGTAACAACATCAAATTTACATCTGTATTGCTATAATGTTGTCTTCCTATTCTACAGTTTTCTGATTATCACTGTACTACAGGAAAACCATGGAGTAAACAGAATTAAACATTTTCAAGCTATATAGAAAGGACGCTATCTTTACATTATTGATCTGATAACTACTTCAAAAGTACCATTGTGAATCAGGTATCTCCCTCTTTACATAGGGGGGGGAGGGGGGAACTTGAAAGGGCTACAGTCCCTTTACTGAAATGATTTTCCTCTCTGGAGTTCCTAGAATCTGTGATGTTGCTCCAACAATAATCCTTCCTTGGTCTTATCTATTTCCTCTGAAAGCAATCATTGTAAAAATAGGACTTTTTAGGTTCTCAATAATCATGCTTCGTATTGTTTGTGAAATACAGAGTTACTTACTAGGGAGTAGGGATACGACTTAAGAGACCATAGTACAAAATTAAATCATTTATATTCTTTGCTAATTTAAACTTGGTTCTTTAATATAATACTGCACGTAATTAATGAAGAAAAAGAGTTTCCGGTTGTTTTATGATATTTATACTTAACTTAACCCTATGTAGTATGTACAGAGGTGTTCCATATCATATTAGATTATCTCCATGCTTTAACGCCAAAATACAACCATAATAATCAAAAAAACTAGTATTTTCCACAAGAAAATTCTTATATTAGCCCTGTTCAATTTTTCAAAATGATTCATTCTACTTAAATTATCTGATTAGTCCAGAAAATCGTAATTAAGACCGATTAACGATCTAATATGATGTTGTTAACCATTAATTTTAAAACCTCTATAAAATGTCGTCTTCAATTAAGATTACTTAACTCGCTATAAAAATCTCAAATTGTATAGTTAATCTATCCTATGTTTACAATCCTTGGGTGGCAGGGATTTTGTTTAGTTCTTTTGCTGCTTCTTTTTCAGCATCCGAGAGAGGAGGTCCCCAGACTAGACCTAAAATAATACGATGGTAGGCGATTTTATCAATAAAATGAAGACGTTTTTTGTTTGAGATTAAATTGTTAACACGCTTTTTTCGAATTACAAGTTTAGAAGTAAAAAAGAGAAGCTTTTCTAACTGCCAGCTTGTCTATGTTTCCATGTTTTTGTGTATCTATGCTGTTTAAAAGCTTGATATAGATTAAAAGTCGTCTTCATTATATCGCCTGCCACCGTAGATCAACAGTGATAATTAATAAGGCGTGTTAGAAAGACGACACGTGAATTATTTGTTATACGTTTTTTATTTACAGTGTGCTTCAGATTGCATCATGCATATTGGATTGGTCTCTGAGTTGGTATTTTAGGATATAACAAACAATTTAAAAAATGTTTATTGTGATACAGTTAATCCCAGATATAGGAATACATAGACCGTCATGAGTTTTTTGATAATTCTAAAGAAACTTCTTTTTATTTTTAATTCAAAGTAAATTAATAGCACTGAAATATGAATGTAGTTCATATATTAGTATTAAACTCATTTTTCCGCGGCATTTGATCTTAAATATGTAATGCGATATTATAAAAAACTCTTGCTATACATCCTTATATCTGGGATTCATTGTAGATGATCTGGAGTTCTTTGAGTAGAAGATAATCCAATATGATATGGGTCACCTGTGTTAATATCTATAGTAATTGATAACCAAAAAACAGTAAAACGACTCTCGTCTTGTTTTCAGTTGAATTATAGATAGTTTTTCCTTATTATTAATAATAATATGAGAATGAAATGATCAATATAAAAGTAAAGACATTTGTTTAACAAATATTGTGTTCTAAATATTGTTATCTTTTACCAGTTGTGTTTCCTAATACGTGTTTATCATCTTCCTGAAACAATCAAAATTATATAAAAGGGATCGTTCATGAGTTTTTGAATATATTTTTTAGATAAAATGGAATTAAAGTAAAAAACGGGATTTTTAGATAATTTCGTTTGAAGAAGTGCACATGCCGGATTCACAACCGACACGTCAGACTCCATACGCTCGAAATTAATAATTTTCAATTTTGGTCTCGAATAAAGTAATTTTTCATTAACAAGACATGGAATTTAAATGGACACAATGATCCTTCTCTAGGCGATATTTTCGTTATTTATGACTCAGATAAAAGTTCCAGGGTACCGTTGTAAATCGTGCATGCAACTTACTTCAAATCCTAAGATCTGTCTTGTTCTATCTGTTCAGAGTTAAATAAGATGGCGCTAATCTACAAGGAAGGATTGTATAAGATGGCGCTAATCTACAAGGATTGTATAAGATGGCGCTAATCTACAAGGATTGTATAAGATGGCGCTAATCTACAAGGATTGTATAAGATGGCGCTAATCTACAAGGATTGTATAAGGTGGCGCCAATCTACAAGGATTGTATAAGATGGCGCTAATCTACAAGGATTGTATAAGGTGGCGCCAATCTACAAGGATTGTATAAGATGGCGCTAATCTTCAAGGATTGTATAAGATGGCGCTAATCTACAAGGATTGATCTGCATATCCACTGTGACCCTTTTCAGGGTAATTGTAGTTATCCCTGGACAAAGATGCAGCCTGCTTATAAAAAGTGTTATACATTTTTAAGACAGGATAGACTTTGAAGTGTCGCAACGCCTTAGGCTTTAATTTTACCGTTCTAACTCACTTATACTTTAAAACACTTGTTGTTAGCTTTAGTTTTAAAAAGTAATTGGCAAAATTCTCATCGATTTTTAGTTTGAGAACGTCGTGAGACCTTCAAATCACAGTACACGGGATATCCAATTGAGGAATCAATTAAATCCTTTGGTTATATAACATAACACTTTTAATCTCTGCTTAATTAGATAAACTTACCTTAGGACCTGTAACTGCTAATTCAGGTTTAGGGGGATCAGTTATAGGTTTAAGTTCAACTCCTAGTTCAAGTTCAGTTTCAGGTTCAACCCCACGTATAGGTTTAAGTTTATGTCCAGGTTCAGGTTCAACTCCGGAGACTAGTTCAGGTTCAGGTTTATCTTCTTCCATCGGCAATCCTTCAATCTTGATCAAAAATATTATATGTACAGTGATAAACATAAAGCTCTGGAATAGGAAGACGACTTTTTGTCTCAAAATATGACTTCAACTAGTCCAATGAACAGACTAATTTCACTTAATAAGTTACTAGTGAAACTATTTGCTTGGTAACAACATCAAATGCACTTAATTTTTTCTTTTATATCGTCTTCCTATTCCAATGTTTTCTGATTATCACTGTAGAAAAATACATGTGGTAGGGTGCCCCACTAAACATGATAGTTGAGAGACAATGAAGCTTATATATAGACATCTTTGACAGGTATAAAAATTACTTTCTTATAATGGGCCGGATGTACTTAGGGTTTCCAGCGTTTGAAAACTTTTGCAACAAAATGCGAAGAAATGCGAAAATTTTCGTTAATATTTTCCAAACTTTTTCGCGATTATGAATTTAGCGAAAAAATGCGAAATTTCGCTAAAACAATTTACGTGAAAATTTCTCATTTTTCGCGAAACAGATTGAAACGAAATTTCAAGTAAAAGGTGAAAATTTGCGCATTTTTCGCGAAACAATTTCCCCTTCTCGCTGGAACCCCTAGCTGTACTGCACACAATGAAAAGCTATGGCTTGTGCCACCTCTTTTAGACACACTGACAATAACATGAATGATTTTTCATAGTTCCACGTACTACTTTCACAAATACGAACGGCGCTGTACTAAAAGTAGAAAGGATGCTTCTCCGTCCTAGTTACATTGCCTTGCGAAAACCGATTTTTATCACGTTTATGTAAAATGATTCACTTATGCAAGCGAAAACAAGTTTCGTCAAAATACGTTAAAAAACAGTCGTAATCGATAACATTTCAGAAAACTAGCTAAGCTGCTGACTTATTTTTAGTTTGTTTTTATTTAATGAACGTCAAAAAGACTAAACCGATTTAGTCCCAGTTTTGGGGATAACTTAAATGACCCCAGAAAATGTTTATAGCCAGTCAATTTTTTTTAAAAATCTGGTTTTCTAAAAATATATAGAAAATCTTCGAAAATATTTTTCATTATAACTTTGTAAGTTTTTATTTAAATTTCATTGATGATGTAAATAGAAGTTTATAGCAAGATAGATCACTAACAAAAACTGCAATAAGCAGTAAGCTTAGTAATTATTATTTGCAATACCTGATATAAAGAACAGAAGAGAAGTAAAACTGGAATACAACGTAGCATCATGAATAACAGGTGTATTATATATACACTACAGTATACAGGCGTAATATTGTTTTTAAACTGCTGTAAATTCAAACAATGCAGATTCAACAGATGCCACTCGAACAAAATAGATTGTTCACAGATTTTATAAAAGGAATACATAACAAAATATTCTTGGATTATCAACTGATTTTTTAAAATTATGAATCAATTTAATTTTTTGGAAAAAGCCAAATATTACGATTATTAAAATAAAAGTGGATTAAAGGGAAAAACGGGGTTTCTTTTGGCCAGGTTACCGATGATTTTAAACAAAGTTTTCACATGAAATTCTCTTACTATCCCCTCCTTTCAAATCTTTCTACAATCCCTTTATCCTGTATAATTAGATCTTGTTTTAGCTGTTGCTTGAGCAGCTTCCTCTGATTCACTATTAAAACTTTCACCAATGATTGCAGGTTTAAAATCTACTTTGAAAAGGCCATCCAGATTCAGTCCTGATACAGGGTGTTTCAAAATTGCTAATGATATATAACAGAACATTTTGTGGGAATTATTTAATGTTTTAATATTCTATATTAAATATAATGAGTAAGTAGGACATTTTTTACATTTTAATTTTTCCAATTGTTTTTTTGTATTTCTTGTGGTAACATTTATTAAACAGTTTAAAAAGCTACAGAATTTAAACATCTAATTTTATTAGTACTTATAATTACTGAACAAAAATTAAATCTAATTAAATAATATTTTTTTAAAAGCTAACCTGCAATGTTTTACACTTTTTCTAACTACGGATTTTGTCAGATCAACTAGTCAAAGATTGAAAGATCAAGGCTCAAACCATCAGGTTCCAAAGAAAAGTGATGAGAAAATTATAAATTAATGCCAATCATCAGTTGACAGTACCATACTTCTCAGCAAAAATTGACCAGTATATTTGTAACTATTTGAAGACGACAGAACCTGAAAATTCACAGAATTCTTTATAAAAATATATTTCCAAGTAAGCTGATTATTGTCAACTAAAGAAGTATCCGTGAAATCTGAGATACAAATGTTTAGAATTTAATTTAAAAAAGAAAGAATTTGATAAAAAATACGAGATTTAGATACAATTTTTTATTTGCAAATTTTGAGTAAGTAAGTAGAAAAAACGTCTAAATCAGTCTTTCTAAAAGTCGACAACTAGCTACATGATATCCCTTATGCTACAGTTAGAACCATAACACTTTGGAATAAGAAGACGATTTGTAGACTCAAGTTATGCAATTAAATCGTCTGGAAGGAACGTGAAACACGTAATTGTGCAGTGTGCTCAAACCAATCTAACTTTATCTTAACAAAGTTATTTTCATGCTGCCATTGTGAAACAATTTACCAAGCTTTAATTGTTTCTTTCCATGTTTTTGTGTATCTGAATGCTCTTTGAAAGCTTGAAATAAATCAAAGTCTAAATCGTAAGCCGTCTTCATTATATTGATGTTATCGCCTACCAACATAACATAACATAACAACATCAATTATACAGAGGAATGCTTCCAGGTCGTCTTCCTTGTCCAAAGTTGTATGAATCTCATTGTATTATTTGACCGAGACCAAAGACTTTACATATTTTCCTTTATCTATATACCCTCGAATATTCTTGTGATCAAATTACTCTGATTTGACTTTATTTGTTAGACATTTTTTAATTCATTGCAGTGAATGCATAGATATAAAGGCTGCAATGTGAAAAGTTGTGTTAATTTTTTAGGACTGGGTCGATTTGAAAGGGTCACAACACATTGGCTTAAGCTTCGACATTATTAACTCACTTATTTTTTTTGCGGTGCTAGACATGTACATTTTAAAATATCTTATAAATAATGTTTTAAAGTTAAGGTTTAAGAAGTTATTGACAAAATTCTCATTGATTTTAGCGTGAGAACATTTGAATCACTGTGAATACTTTAACAAAGTGTATTTTTTGCTGAGTTCAGAATTTTTAAAACATTTTTAGTTGGATACTGATTTTTATTGACACCTTGTATATAATCAGATTTCTGTTAAACCTGATCTCAGGGTTTAAAGGGTTTACAGGGTTTACGCAGCTTAGAACATTTAAACAAAATACATGAAATTTCAAGGCAACCCAATTTAATTTTTAAAAAAATGCCCCAAGTTAATGAATATATCGCAAAAAAAACGACCTTCACAGTTTTATATAATTTTTTTAATTATAAATCAGACTAGGTGCCGTTTAATATTCTTTTAAGAAAAAAATCATTAATTTTCATGAAATTTTATCTTTAAATTTATAAACAGTTTACCCCAGAGATTTTGAGGCATAGAGAGTTTTCATGAAATGTCGTCTTGACCATTTTTCAATGGGTTTTATTTGTTCTACTTTACGTAAATTTTACTAATTTCGAAAATGAATAAATTGTCATAAATATGCTATTGCGGGAACAGTTTTAAAGAGCTCTATATAATAATTTAATTAAATAAATAGAAGATGGGCGCAAAGCGACCTTAAACCATAGTTTTCAAAATTCTTCCGATGTCTTTTTATAATTGAACTTTACTGTAAATATTTGTTTTTAAGAAAAATATTAAAGTATTTAATTTTTCATGTTTCAAGGTATCCCTAACTGAACCCAAAATTCAAAATTTCAAATACTTATTGCAGCATCAAGTCTAAATATGCAAAAATATTTTCAAAATTTCCAGAAACTAAATTTGTAATAAAGGAAAACTGAAAATCTGCAAATTTTCTTTAAAGGCATCTGTGCAAAAATCCATAGAACATTTCTTTGCGATCTTTGCAATCTGCTTACTTTTGTCCCAGGCCTTCCAAAGAGCTGTAAAAAGTTGAAATCCAATGACTGAAAGTAGGTTAAATATAGATTTAGTCTGGTAAAGGTAAAATAATGCATTCAGGCAGTATGCCTCTGGACTCATGTAGTAAGTAAAAAAATCTTTAAAATATGAGTTTTGGGCGAAATCATCTTAATTTGGAGTAATATCGCGCGGAGACCACCAGATTTTCTTCTGATACCCCGCACGTTCATGTTCATTCACTTTCCAATGATAATGATTTCTAAAGGCATTTTGCTGATAATTTCTCTTCTTTCATCTTTGAATGAATGAAATATAAGAACGAAGAAATGATGAATGTTGCGCAATCTGTGCAAAAACTGAATAATTGATAAAATAATTTGTGTTATTTTTATATTTTGGTTCAAATGATAAACATCTAAACATGAAATCTAGAAAGAAGAATGTGGTGAGAAAAAAGATGGTTCCTCAGATTCCAGTTTTGCTCCTATATAATTTCCCAATCCAAGGGCATATTATAGATGGATGGATTGATAAGAAATAAATCACGAAAAGTATTATTCCCACGGTAAAACGGTAAACCAATAAAACAATAAATCGGTAAAACGGTGAAATGGTAAAACAGTAAAACGATTAAACGGTTAAATGGTAAAATGGTAAAACTGTAAAACGAATAAATGGTAAAATGGTTAAACGATAATACATTAAAACGACAAAACGGTAAAATCATAAAACAGTTTAACAATTAAACGGCAAAATGGTTAAACGATAGACGGTAAACGATATATGGTAAAACGATATACGGTAAAACGGTAAAATGGTAAAATGGTAAAATGGTAAAATGGTGAAATGGTGAAATGGTAAAAGGGTAAAAGGGTAAAATAGTAAAATGGTAAAACGAATAAATGGTAAAATGGTAAAACGGTAAAACGATTAAACGGTTAAATGGTAAAATGGTAAAACTGTAAAACGAATAAATGGTAAAATGGTAAAACGGTAAAACGATTAAACGGTTAAATGGTAAAATGGTAAAACTGTAAAACGAATAAATGGTAAAATGGTAAAACGATAATACATTAAAACGACAAAACGGTAAAATCATAAAACAGTTTAACAATTAAACGGCAAAATGGTTAAACGATAGACGGTAAACGATATATGGTAAAACGATATACGGTAAAACGGTAAAATGGTAAAATGGTAAAATGGTAAAATGGTGAAATGGTGAAATGGTAAAAGGGTAAAAGGGTAAAATAGTAAAATGGTAAAATGGTAAAATGGTAAAATGGTAAAATGGTAAAATGGTAAAATGGTAAAATGGTAAAATGGTAAAATGGTAAAATGGTAAAATGGTAAAAGGGTAAAATGGGGAAATGGTAAAATGGTAAAATGGCAAAATTGTAAAAGGGTAAAATTAAAATATGGTAAAATGGTAAAATGGTAAAATGGTAAAATGGTAAAATGGTAAAATGGTAAAATGGTAAAAGGGTAAAATAGTAAAACGGTAAAACGTTAAAAAACATTCTGATCAGCATGTGGACTTTTTTTTAAAATCTTTTCCTCAAGATATATTTTCCCCAATTAGTGTGAGCATAAAATTAAAACTCTCCTTGCATTCTTGAGTCTCAACATTATTTAAACACAATACCAAAGTTTCTATACTAATACATAAAATTTATCACTAGAAAATAAAGAAATGATTAAAGGAAGACGATATTTATAAAAAGATTAACGGAAGACGATATTAAAATAATTTCCTTTATCTCTTACTTATTAAAAGAAAGTAAGGGCAGAAAACTAAACAAGAAACACTACATGATAATAATGGCGTTATACCGATTTGAAAAATCAATTTCGACGGAAACTAATTTTTTCAGAAGGGGCTCAGCCAACATAGCCACCCCCCATGCTATTTTCCTGATTAATTTGATGAAACAACTTGTTAGTTCAAAAATGAAGATTTTGGAAAGATGACGACAAAAGAAATTGTCTACATCAGCTGTTGGCGATTTTATGAAAACAACAAAGAGGAATATTTTAAAGTTTGATTGTTAAAAAAAATTTTTCGAATTACAAATTTACAAGTAAATAAAGTGAAGCTTTCAAAATTGACAGCTCCTCTTTGTTTTCATGTTTTTGAGTATCCATGCTGTTTAAAAGGTTGATATAAATCAAAATTAAAGTCAAAAGTCGTCTTTATAATATTAATATATTAAAGATAAAACATTTTTTTAAATCAAAATTTTTTTTCTGAAATAAAATATAAAAAATAGCTTAAATGTCCGGCGTTCAGTGGAAATTTTAAAAACATTTTGGTGGAAAAAAAAATTCGAAATTTCAAATTTTAAAGAAAAAAAATCAGTCAATTTGGTCCAACGAAGAGGTTTATTATATAGATTGGTTGCATTACATTTATCCATTAGCAATTACGTAAAAAATACCGTATTGTTCAGACAAAAGATTATTTTTCTGTGTCTCTGTTGTTCTGGAATATCAGAAGAATAATACAAATTTTGTGCATTATTGCAATAATTGTGCTTTTATAAAAGGCTAATTTTTTGAAAATCAATATATAAACATATTTCTTATGGTTATTAAAGACAATTTTTAACATATGTTATCAAAACTTCCCGAAATTGAATAACAAGTTTTTAAGCCTGGACATCCTATAGTCTTAATATTAAAACATTATTCTGCATCTGAAAACCGTGATTTTACTAAATAAAAATAAAGCTTACTTTATCAATTTTTGGCCTCAAGCACAGTTTTGTCTAGTAAAACTATTCAAAATATTTAAAATATAAAAAAAATGTTGTTCACTGCCCAGTTTACCCCTACAAATTTTTTTAGAATATGTGTAACAAAAACTAACAAACTTCAAAATAACAAAGCTAAGCTTTTCTTTCGTACATGGACAAATTACTATTGTTCCAAGAACTAATTATGAGATTTTAGAGACAACTGTACGGAATTTAAATAGTCTTTTTCCGTATATTACGATTTTTTGCAACAGTAAACTTGTTTCGTTCTTTGCCGAATCATTAAATATAGGTTTGGGTCGTCTTTACAGTCTCAATCTTTGTGGGTAACCCTGTATCTTGAAATAAACATTTTTTCTAGAATTGAAATAAAAAATCGGTGAAGCACTGTAGTAGTCACAGTATAAAAGTTTACAGAAGGGTCGGTATTCTTTGCTAAAATGCCTGTAAAATGTATTCCTAGGAAGGTTTATTGAAAATATAAGTTAAAAATTATAATGGGAAAGATGGAAAGAGTTAAGAATTTATTTATTAGTTCCCGATCGTAAATATCCAACCAATAAACCAAAATGCATTTGGAAGATTTCGTACAATGCATCTACACTTTTTTCCAGGGTCGTACAACTAACATTTTATCATGTTCTTTTTATGTTAATTTACAGTTTTTGTGGGGTGCCTTTTAAAAGTCAAAAAAACTTCAAAGTTCTAAAAGTAATTACCCGTCACAAGGTGACACCCTTTGAAGCGATATAAGGATTATAAGATATAAGGCGAGTATTCAGTTCCTTTGTACAATGTTACCCGAAATGGATGGTTCCGGCCTGGCAACTTTAAAATTGTTTCTTTTTTTTCTTTGGAAATAAGAATCCCAAGTTCCAATTTAAAAAGTTTTAAAATTTTTGACTCAGACCTTTTTAGATAACCCTGTACTTGTACTTGTTCCTAAGTTCTACAAACATACAATATAGATAGCCCTGTACTTGTACTTGTTCCTAAATTCTACAAACATACAATATAGATAAACCTGTACTTGTACTTGTTGCTAAATTCTACAAACATACATTATAGGTAAACCTGTACTCGTACTTGTTCCTAAGTTCTTAATACATACATTATAGATATCCCTGTACTTAACTTGTTCCTAAGTTCTACAAACATACATTATAGATAACCCTGTACTTAACTTGTTCCTAAGTTCTACAAACATAACCCTGTACTTGTACTTGTTCCTAAGTTCTACAAACATACAATATAGATAGCCCTGTACTTGTACTTGTTCCTAAGTACTACAAACATACATCATAGATAACCCTGTACTTGTACTTGTTCCTAACTTCTACAAACATACAATATAGATAGCCCTGTACTTATACTTGTTCCTAAGTTCTACAAACATACAATATAGATAACACTGTACTCGTACTTGTTCCTAAGTACTACAAACATACATCATAGATAACCCTGTACTTGTACTTGTTCTTCTACAAACATACAATATAGATAGCCCTGTACTTATACTTGTTCCTAAGTTCTACAAACATACAATATAGATAACACTGTACTCGTACTTGTTCCTAAGTTCTACAAACATACAATAAAAATAACACTGTACTTGTACTTGTTCCTAAGTTCTACAAACATACAATATAGATAACCCTGTACTTATACGTGTTCCTAAGTTCTACAAACATACATTATAGATAGGCCTGTACTTGTACTTGTTCCTAAGTTCTACTTAATACATTATAGATAGGTTTTTTCTCGTTAGACAGATAGACGGCCAAATCTTTTAAACATAGTTTATCCCAATAATTATATAGTTCCTTGGTTTATGCTATAGATAACACTGTACTTGTACTTGTTCCTAAGTTCTACAAACATACAATATAGATAACCCTGTACTTATACTTGTTCCTAAGTTCTACAAACATATGTTTTAGATAACCCTGTACTCGTACTTGTTACTAAGTTCTACAAACATACATTATAGATATGCCTGAACTTGTACTTGTTCCTAAGTTTTACAAACATACAATAAAGATAACCCTGCACTTTTACTTGTTCGTACGTTCTACAAACATACAATATAGATAAGCCTGTACTTGTACTTGTTCCTAAGTTCTACTTAATACATTATAGATAGGTTTTTTCTCGTTAGACAGATAGACGGCCAAATCTTTTAAACATAGTTTATCCCAATAATTATATAGTTCCTTGGTTTATGCTATTTTTGTTATATTTAAATATTTTCTGAATAAATCACACAACCTCGTCTATTGAATAATCACGAAACCTACCTCATGTACTGAACCTCTAAATATACAGATCTATTTTAATGCGAGAAACTTTATACATAATATTCATAAAAAGGACAAGGTTAATTTCCATTTTTTTCAGACTCTCAATTATTTCATATTAGTATTCTAAGTAAATTATCAATTTTTAAGTTTTTTTTTCAATTTTCAATTTTCAACTTTTAGTCTTTTTCTTAAAGAGCAAATTTAATTAAAATGTTTCATAAGGTATCTTACGTTTCATCACTTTTTTCTTCGAATGTATAGAATGCAATACAGATGCAGGGTGTTCCACGAAACATGACAGTTGGCGACTAGTTTAGAATGTCTTCTTTCATATTTTGCCAAGTTCTTTTATACCAAAGAGAACACTGAAATTATTATATGGGAGTCATATTATAGTAAAATTGATTTCAAAGTAAAATATATTTGAGTAAAAGATTTTTCTAGCGAAATAAGTATTTAATATCTAATACAGTATGAGGAAGAAGACATTCAAAACCATTCACCAACTGTCATGTTTCTTGTGACACCCTGGACCTTAGATTATTTTTAAAAAATCTAAGTTCAAATAAATGTTTAAAATCACGAAACCTCTTACATGGAGTTCTATCTAACCTATTCTAGATAGAACTAGATAGAACTAGATAGAACTAGATAGAACTAGATAGAACTAGATAGAACTAGATAAACTAGATAGAACTAGATAGAAATAGATAGAACTAGATAGAACTAGATAGAACTAGATAGAACTAAATAGAACTAGATAGAACTAGATAGAACTAGATAAACTAGTTAGAACTAGATAGAAATAGATAGAACTAGATATAACTAGATAGAACTAGATAGAACTAGATAGAACTAAATAAACTAGATAGAACTAGATAGAACTAGATAAACTAGATAGAACTAGATAGAACTAGATATAACTAGATAGAACTAGATAGAACTAGATAGAACTAGATAGAACTAGATAGAACTAGATAGAACTAGATAGAACTAGATAAAAAATTTCAAAATAAGTAAATAAGTTATTTTTATCTCTGTAAAAAATAGTTGCCATTCCTCTAGACTCTATATCTTTCTCTATAATATAAAGCTTTGTTTGGAGATATACACAAAATTTCTCACTTAGCTGGAACACTTCCGTGATTTAACGTGATACCCCGTCATAGTCTGTCGGTCAAGGGGTTGATGAGTTATGATCGGACATACTTTAACAAACACATAGACAAACAGATATTACTACTTTATGTATATAGTTTAATGTTAACCAAACCAATGTAAAAACGAACAAAATAATTGAGAAATCACGCAACCTCTTACATAGAAAATTTTGAAGACATATGTCTGTATTGAAGACTTGACTTAAAATCATTCAATAATTTTTATCAATGATAAAAAATTATGAACTGAACAAATTAATTCAACATTAATTAAAACCATTTTTTTAAATATCATGTCAGTGTTTTTTTCATTCTTTTAATTTTACGATAAACATAGTAATCAAAACTAATTTCTGTGTCATCAAATCCCAAAGATATAATACTTTTTTTACAGCAAAGAGCCAACCATGGGGGTAATGATGTTAAGGAAGGGTGGGGGGGAAAGGGGAGAGGGAGAGGGGGATTGTTAAATATTTTTATCTCTACAGCCTTTGTTGAAGGATCTAGTCTGATTTGATCCGAACAATTTACAGTGGCAATTAGAGGAAATTTCGTACTTGACAATTTTATTTTTATTCGGGGGATAAATGGCTTGGAAGCCTCTGACACGGTCCATGTCCAATTCACGCACCCGCACCCGCTCTGCGCGCGTGACGGTCTGGGCCATGTCCCGGACAGGGACGTACTGCCCCTGCCAGTGCCAGGCCAGAAGCTGCTCAGTGTCATTTAGACCGTCGGAGAAGTAACATATATATCATGATCTCTTGAAACTAGAACAGGACAGAAACAAAATATCAAAATGATTTCACCAAAAAGTTTAAAGTCTAGTCCAATCCCTGTCCCACACACAGACTCGCGTACTGTACGTGCATACAGCGATCCTAATATATTCAAGAGTGAGCGTGTACTTCGTAGCTTGGTGAGTAGAGAGATGAAGCAGAACTGCAACTACTTCAGCAGCCTGCAGACGGACCTGAAGCCTGGTATGAGAGAGGATCTGTGCACCTGGTTGCTGGAGGTCTGTGAGGAGGAGAAGTGTGAAGCTCAGGTCTTCTGTTTAGCGGTCAACTATCTAGATAGGTTCCTAGCTGTCTGTCCTATCAGAAAGTAAGTTGAGAGACACTTTCAAAATACTTATACACTTTATTCTTTATGACAGAAATATATTTTTTTTAAACAGTATTTACTAGTTATATACATATATTAGGCCTATTCAGTTCTTGTGTATATTTAAAAAGGATTATAAATGAACCCTTTCAACTAGGATTTTTCAAAAGATATTTGATTTGATATGTTAAATTATACAGCTTGTTTATCCATCTTTTTTATTTAGATTTTACTTGTTTATCTTTCATGCTGTGGAAAGAAATCATATTTTATAAAACTATATATTTAGATTATACGTCACATGCGTTATCTAGTAATGCAGACATTTTGAATACTCAGTCGTTTTTTGTCTAAATCTAAGTTTCTATTTCGTTTTCTTTAAGGAGCCAGTTGCAGTTGCTTGGTGCTGTTTGTCTACTTGTCAGCTTGAAGGTGCGCGCGCACAAGATAATCAGTGCGCAGAAGCTGATTGAATTCTCAGACTACGCGCTTACATTGGAAGATCTTTTGGTAAGTTTTTTTTTTACAAATTTTGCGTAGTTTAGAAAAATAATTGAGATTTCAATTTTCCATCGTCTTTTTAGACCTTATAATTCTCCGGTCATCTTTTATTAAAAAGGTTAAGTTAACCTTTGTTTTCACAAATATTTTTATGCTTAGTTTGTAATTTATGTAAACATTGTAATATTTTGTAATTAATGAAAACATGTAAATTGTAAGTAAAAACTTTTTATAATTTAAAATCTTTAATTACATTAACAGATGTGTTTAATTGTATGCAAAAATTATTTCTATCAAAATTGTATTGCAGATTCAAGTTCAAAGGAATTGAGTTTCTGCCACCAACTCTGATTTTCTAATTACTATATCTCGATATTGTAGACCTCTGATATTTCAAACTATAAATTCTGTTAGATTAAATAGTCTAAGTTTGAAATATAAAAGGTTTACACCGTCAAGTTGCTAAGATAGAGGGATTAGAAAATTTGAGCTTGTGGCAAAAACTCAATTCTTTTAACTTGTGTTACTATTTTCTTTCTTAAGATCCCCAAGTCGTGTGAATCGTTAAAATCGTTGAAATTTGTTAAATTTGGAAACCCTTTTTTTCTCTGTAAACCTGTAAACCTGTAAACCTGTAAACCTGTAAACCTGTAAACCTGTCCCTACGGGAGATTGTGCACAAAAGAACAATAGAGGAAAGGTCGAGCCATAATTAATGATCTAAACTCGCAAAATAGATTTTTTCAGAAACATTGAATCATTCTTTTTTTTCAATTAAAAAAGTAATTAAGTTCTCCCGACCATGTTTTTTTCAAGACTTTGTCCTTGAAATATTAAATTGTAACAACATTAAGTAAGCAGCGTAAAAGCTATTAAATCTATGACAACCATTAAATCCCTCATTAAATATTCTCAGACGAAGGATTTTATTCATTCATGAGTCAGAAAACACCAGAATCTGCAGATTAATCTGGGCCAACCTTGATTTGCAGGTTATAAAGGAGAGAAAAGTGCAAACTGCTAATATATTATTGAATGAAGATTTGGAAAGTAATATAGATGGATTATAGATACAGTTTCATTATATAGGGTTGATAGAACTTTTTTATTTTTTTGGTTACATAAATTTTACATGTTGGAAATGATACTGTTGTTGGTGAATGGCGCTGTTAAATTTTTTGTTGTTGCTAGCTGCTTTATGGCCGTTGGAAACTGCTTCTATACTTTCTGTTTAATTAATTGGTTGTTGTAATTCTCTTTAATGATGTAGTTGATGGAAGCTGTGTAATACTTTGATAGTTGGCTTAATTATATGGTTGTTAGAAGCTGTTTTATGATGTGGTTGTTGGAAGCTGATTAATCATATGGTTGTTGGAAGCTGTTTGGCTGCTGTCATGTTCTGTATATATTTGAACTGACAAGAGACAGACAGCTCTTCCAACAGCTATACAATCAACGTTGACTTCAACAACAGCAGCAACAAATAAGTTGTTCAGTCTACGACCATCATCAACTACTGCAACGACATCAATTAAGAACAAGAAAAAGAATTCAAAGATGACAAGAACACAAGAATAAAACGAATACAAAAATAACAAAAAAAAAGAATAACAAGAACACAAGAAAAACATCATCACAAGAAAGACAAAATCACAAGAATACAAGAATACAAGAATACAAGAATAGCAAGAACACAAGAACACAAGAATGACAAGAACACAAGAAAAAACAAAAAAGATGTCGGATAAAAGAAACCAAGAAGATTTAAAATATATTTTTGTTCAAATGTTTTAATCCACTGTATTGCGCAACACCCTGGTCTTATTTCTGAATTTTGAAACTACTTTATTGCGTATAGAATAGAATCCAGTTATAAAGGACAAAACGCTCAATAATTCAAAAAGCGGCAATTTTTCTAAAAAGTCCCGCAGTATTGTATGGGTTAGCATTGTATGGAATTGAAGGAAAAAGGGCACTGATTGGAATCGGACTTGAACAAGTCTGAATGGCTTAGTGACAGTGGGGGGGGATTGAGCATGATAGCCTGAGAGAAAAAGGGGAGGGGTTAAAAAATTGTCTTTTGTGTAAAAAAGCTGGAATCTGAACAGTTCTGTTCCGCGGTATTGTTAATCGAATGATAAGTGCCCGATATCTGTATCAGGGGAGAAGGGGTGGATATTTAACAATTTTTATTCTTTGGGAAATTTAACGCTTTTCACGGAAGGGTGAATTTAATAGCATTAAAAAAAGTATTCAGTTCTTATTATTTATAGACTTGTTCACATAGAGTTCCATTCTTTGAGTTTCTCTTTTTATCTTTCATCTGGTTTTTCAAAAAAACTCTTTCACAATTTTTTTATAATGTTCATAGCTGTTATATTTATGTTGTTAACTGTCATCTCTTACAGGAATGGGAGTTCCTGCTGTTATCTAAACTGGACTGGGATCTGTCTGCTGTCATTGCTACGGATTATGTTGAACACATTCTTCAACGTCTTCTGAAGCTAGACCTGGCCTGGGACCCGGAGAAGACGAGACAGAACGCAGAGACGTTGATCTACATGTGCTACACCCACTACACCTTGTCCTCCTACCCTCCATCACTCATTGCAGTTTCTAGTATACTCACAACACTTCGACCGGTACTTGAAACTGTAGTTACTAGAGATACACCGTCACCATCATCCTCATCATCATGTTCATCCCCCTCGTCACTAGCCGGGAAGTCTGATGAACCCCTGGAGAATGTGATCAAAGCTGTGGAGAAGTTGACGCTAGTCGAGAGGTCCCTGGTATTGAAGTGCATGGAGAAGCTTGAGAGCTTAATGCATGCCTCTCTCCCTCCCTCTCCATCTCCATCCGACGAGGACGGATCTCCTTTAAGTAAATCAGTTGTAGAACGGTCAGCTTCTTATCCTCAGCTAGCGTTAAGATCTCTTTTCCCCGAGACTGAGATTATAGATTCCCAGCCTTCTAACCTTTCTGGTCTTTCAACTGGTCTCTCCTGAGTCCATCTTGATGTATACAGTATAGTTACCAATTTTTTAAATGTATCCCTAACTTATTTTTGGTGTACCACCGGGTGCTGTCTGCAGACCCCCACAATGATCATTTATAAGATCAAACTCTGGACAGTTTTATACAAGATACTGCAGATACACCTCATTATGAGAATAAAATTCAGTAGGGCGGAATTAGTTCAACCTAAATTGGTATTTTTGAAGGGTAGCCGGCCCAAATTTACCCTCTGAAGGGTAAAATATATAAAAATTTAGCATAAATTTGTGTCGAGGCATTACAACTATATATTTGTGATAAGAAAATGTTTTATAACTGGTGAATATTTTGTATAAAATATCTTTAGTCAAAATAAACTATTTAAGATATGTATCTAATCAAATTCTATATTTAAGTGAGTCTTTTCAATATGCTATACTTGTATAATTTTTTCAATTAATGACATTGAATTTGTAAAAAAAAGTGTACTGCAGTTTGTTTACATTCCTCCCAGAAACAACATAGATAATTTTTGTAAACAAAGATATTTCAGTTCCTGGCGTATGTGTCTTGTCTTGATGATAGAGACCTATAAAGCAAGTAATATAACAACTTGCAAGAATTAAGATGTTCTCCTCTTTTTATTTCAGCTCTGAATAGATTATGGATTTTAAGGAATGATATCATACAGTGCTGTCCTATAAAAATACGAATAATTACCCGGACTTTCCAGGGTTTCATATGTATGGCAAATTTAAATCAAACTACGAGTTGCTCTATTATTCAACAATCTTTGAACTTAAGCAGCTGCATTTTATTGTAAAACGAAAAAAGAGAACATTTCTAAGTTTATTTTGTCATATTGGGATCGAAAGTGACAGTTTGCAGGGACCGGACCTAATAACGGTTTAATCAGTTTGGAACAATAACGACTTTACTAAACTGTTTTTGTAATATCAAGCAACAGAAATCATTTCAAAAGTACGAATATTTTGTTCTAAATATAAACAGAATGAAAGGGATTTCTCAGAAGTGTTAAAATTTCAACATTCTGTTCGAAAACCTAGAATTAAATGGATTCAGTAAGTTCAATATTTTAACGCCTTTTGACCAACATCACCGAACTATGATTCCCCCAACAGAGGTAGGTTAGGTTACTTAACACCCTTGGTACAGTTATGTAAAATAACCACCCGTTCTGCGAAGTTTTTGGGAAAAAATTCGCGCATTTTCAACTCAAAAGACGAATAATTGTGTAATGTGTACAACTACTTTTTTTTTGTACAACTACTGCGCTCTGGATGTTTTGTAGACACAATTGGGCTTGGGAAGTTGGGAACCCTTGGTAAAGTAAAATTCCCTGAACTTCCTTGTACAATATAGTTGTAAATAATTTATAAGATCAAAGTATTAGGATTTGTTCTGACGGCATGCTTTTTATTATTTGCATTTTTAAAAATATTTTCTAGAAACATTTTCTTTTGGCTTTTAACAAATTTAAAAAAAAAATTTTTTATCGATTTTGATGGTTATTTATCGTTAGAACTGACTAGGGTCAACCCAGACCAAAATATATTTTCAATAAATGTGGAACTAAAATCTACTTTTTTTACTCTACAGAGGTTTGGTCCATCACCATATCACCAAATTCTAAATTTTTGAGATTATTTTTGATATTCATGATAATGTTCAGAATACAGATTTAAGTTCTATGATTTTTTTAAAAACATTGTGGAAACAGTCCAACTTTTTTTTACAATTTATCCTTATTTGCAATCTACGGAAAAAAATATTTTAAGACAAAGATAATAAAATAATGCTAAATACCTTCAGCATTTTGTGTTTTTATATTATTTTTACAATTCATGATTGAATATCGTTGTCGTTGAACAAAGTAATATTTCTGAATATTCATTTATCATTCTTGTTTTTCTTAATAATCTCGTGGGAAATTATGTTTATATAAATTGATAAGGATTATATAGAAGGAGGATATGTGATAACACTTATTCATATTAACTATACAGGGTGATCCACATTATATTAACTATACAGGGTGATCCACATTATATAAACTATACAGGGTGATCCACATTATATTAAATATACAGGGTGATCCACATTATATTAAATATACAGGGTGATCCACATCATATTAACTATACAGGGTGATCCACATTATATTAACTATACAGGGTGATCCACATTATATTAACTATA